TCTGACGTTCGGGCCTGACGATTGTTAAAGAACATTGTCACTGTGTAATCGCGTAGCACACGTTCGCAATTCGCGAGAAGCCCGACACTTGGGCACGTTTATCCTCTCGCCAAAGACGATCGATGATAACCGAATTAACGGACACTACACGTGTATGTAACATGTAGGTACGTATATGTAAGTCCTTGCTCTCTATCTATCCTCTCTCTCTCTCTCTCTCTCTCTGTCTCTGTCTCTCTCTCCCTCTCTACTTCTCTCTATCCTTCTCTCGTTTGTGAAGAGAGTACACGATGTTAAGGAACAAATAAGAAAGATAAAGATGAATAGAGAGAAACAAAGAATCCAACGTCGATAACTTTTAACACGATTAAAAACGAACGAAGAAAAAAATATTTATGTAAAATAAATAAATCGCTCGATAACGATTTATTAATACAATATTATATTGATAACAATGGAAGATTAAGAAACAAATTTTTTTCCACAAATAATTTCGTTTATCTTTCGTCGCACCTTCTCTCGCGATTTTCGGCGATCTTTTATCTCTTTCTCTTTCTCTTCCTCTCTCTCTCTCTTTCTCTCTCTCTCTCTCCCTCTCTCTCTCTCTCTCTCTCTCTCTCTCTCTCTATCTCTTTTTTTTCCTCTTTCTTTACGTTTATCTTCGTGCTTTCGTTATTTCTTTCTTTCCTTTCTCTCTCTTTTCTTTTCTTTTCTTTTCTTTTCTTTTTTTTTTTCCTTTAACTTAACGCGACGACACGTCGCGGCGACGGAACAAACATTTTCTAAGGATACTCTTTTTAGGATCCTTTCGAAATATCACACGACGGGAAAACCGAAATACGTAAAACGTTGTGAGAGCGAACTTATGTTACAGAGAGAGAGAGAGAGTGAGAGAGAGAGAGAAAAAGAGAGAGAGAGAACGAGCGAGCTAGCTAAAGAAGGCTCTATAGTGGCCTGGTGCTGATGGTGGTGCCGGTGCTACTGCTCTCACCGGCCGGTATATAACTCGAAGCGGGAGAGAGAACGCTTCGGACACGCGCGCGCCTACGAGGGCTGCGCGAAAGGTGCGCGAGCGCATTGGCGCGCCACTATTCGGCCTCCGAATTTCTACCTTTTTGTGGAGGGGTTGAAATTCCCTTTCTCTCTCGCTCTCCTCTCCTTTGTATATTACTCTCGTCAAACGTTAACCATGTTATATCTTTTATATCATTATTATTATTATTATTATTATTATTATTATTTGTCATAAAATTATAATTTGTCATATATTTCGTCATATATTGAACGTTGTTCAATTTTTAAAGGAAACCAACTTTTTGTCATTTGGACTTCATCATTAATCGAATTATAGTTTGCTTATATTTGAACGTTTGATAATATAAAATTATTACAATTGTTATAAGTTTGAAATATACTTATTATATACGATATTAATAGAAATCTCTCGATTCGTTGTATTAATAATTGTCTATTTAATCTTTGATAAAATATATACAATAATTAATTTAAATCCTTAAGATTCATACGTGTAACTGAGAATATCAAATAAAACGTATCTTATTAATTTATTTTCAATATAATGAAAATAATCACGATGAAATTTTTATTCATTCGTTATATTATCAATAATCTTTTTCTAACTCAATCGATGCTAAAAATACAAACAGGTTTTAACAGTTTTAAGCGCGTTTACGATGCGCTTAATACGTTAATAAGCTTTTTAACGTAATAAATGTGAACAAATAGATGTACGTTGTTCCACTTTGCAAAATACCTTGAATCTGCGGTTGTTATTTCGAGACCACAGCGACGACAAGAGAACCGCCTTCGATCCGGATTATCCCAATTAACTAAAGATGCACGTTCACGTGGACTCTTCCCGAGAAAGCCGCGAGTACGTTCTGAAACTCGGGGCTAATTATTCACGTTAGAAGTGCTCGCTCGTATATACTCTCTACATTTCTAACAATCATGAAACACGTATTTTCGACGTCTTCGAACATTACGTCGAGATTTTATCACGATAGAAAATTATATATCCAAATAATATTAAAAACGTTCGAAAGCACATTAAATTTAATTATTAAAATTTATAATTAAAAATGATTGAACATTATCATTTAATTATTAACTTTAATAATAAATTAATTGAAAAAAAAAAGAAAAAAGAAAATATTAAAGTTCATATATAAAATAATATTAAAGTTAATGTGTCAATAAATTATAATTAATTTCACGTTTCTTTACGAATAAATAAACGTACGTACGTACGTTAATCCGAACGATCGATTAATTCGATTAACGATACAAACGATAAAAATTTATCGTATCTTTCTGTATCATCTTTAAAATAAAATAATACACGTAGAAAGTTGAATACGTTTCAAAAACATATGAAAGAGATCTTTACAAATTTGAATTTCGAACGAAAGAATAGAAATTTTCATTTAATTCGTCGATACACAAGCGAATAATAGGAACAACGTGCCGAGCTAAGGTAATTTGAACCTTGTGGTGAACTTATATCAAATTCAAGAGTGTCAAAAAGAGAGAAAGAAAAAGATAGAAAAAGAGAGAGAGAGAGAGAGAGAGAGAGAGAGAGAATATATCTGTGAGTGTGTAAGTGTATGAGGGTGTGTTGTAGAAGGACCTCGTGCAGAGAGGCGAGTGTTAGGGATCGTTTGACGTCCATCCTGCGGAAAATGTATTGCCTAAGGCGTTCAACTTGGAATTGCATGTCTCGAAATCTTCGAAGGTGCGACATCTTACGGTTTAAACAGTTTAATGTTAGTAACATAACATCATTGAAGGAACCATTATCACTCAGTTTGTTCTCCCGCATAATCGTCGACCAAGCGCATACCTACTGTTTGTATTTCACATATATTTCTATTTGCTCGTTTTTTCTATTTCCCTCTCTCTCTCTCTTTCTCTCTCTCCCTCTCTCTGATTTTTTTTCTCTGTTTGCCTATCTGTCTAGCTCACTCACTCTTTTTCTTTCTCTGACTTTTTTTTTTCTTTTTTCTATCTGTCTATCTCTCTCTCTCTCTCTCTCTCTTTCTCTCTCTCTCTCTTTCTCTCTCTCTCTCTTTCTCTATTTCTTTTTATAGCTCGATCGAACGAAAAGAACCCACACGAATACTTTGATACATACTTTTCAAGGAAAATGCTACGCAAGCAAGTAATCGGAAAATCTTCGAAACGTTCTACTAGCTTTTAGTAGATATATATATATATATCTACTAAATATATATATATATATATATATGTAGTTTAATATATCTACTTATATCTTATTTCTTACGATTCTTGCACAGGATAATCGACAAATCTTTTTCTTATCGTTTGATCCATATATCTTTAGATCTTTGGTATGGTATTAAGGAAAATCAAAAAAAAAAAGAAGAAAATAATAAGAAAAAAAATATAAAAAAAACAAAAAAAACAAAAAGAAAAATGTTTGAAAAAGATACAAGAAGATCGAACGCACGAATAGATTTCAAATAATTCATATTTATTTATTAATCTATAAGTCAAGATAAAAATATTTATTTATTATGTAAATCCATCTTATTTCTATCCTTTTCTAAACTGACTAATCGAGATATCCTTTTTCTTACAATACAATTCATATTTTTAAATCTTTGATGTGTTATTAAGGAAGATAAATAATTTGAAAAAGATCGAAGAAGATCAAACGTACGAATCTTAAATAATTCATATTTTCTAATTGTGGTCACGTTACGGAAAAAGTAAGAAAGAGAAAGAGAGAGATAGATTTAGAAAAAGAAAAACACGAAATAACTCGACACGTAACAGCAGTCTCATATAAGACGTTGGATTTATTTCCGTCGCGGATAAATCCTGCTAAGCGATAAATTCAAGTGAAGCTTGAATCGTGGTAATTCAGATCTACGTGAGAGTTAACCACGTGTATCTCAAAACTATTCTTTAATTCACACCCCATAAAGTTCAAATTCAATAGCCACTTAAACGGTCGATCTTAATCCAATTCAAAATGATATAGTATTTGTTATACGAAACGATCGATGAAATATGAATTTCTTATCGTATAGGATAAATTATACAAAGAAAAAGAAAAAAGAAAAAAAACAAAAAAAACAAAAAAACAAAAAGAAGAAAACAAAAAATACGAAGTAAACATTAAATTAATTATAATCATTTTATCAAAGAATTTCTAAATTTTATGTAAAACATTATTAATACGTAAACGGGATATCTTTTTCATTCTGCGATTTCTCAAGATACTTCCGGTAGTATAGAATTCTTTAAAGCTCGACAAAGATTTCAACGTCTTATTAATTTTGAAGATGTTAGAAAGAAACAGACAAATAAAAAGACAGACAAACAGACAGAGAGCAAGAGAGAGAGAGAGAGAGAGAAACTATCGCGTGTATATCTCTTTTAAGATGGTTCCCGGAAGTAAAGTACATCCGCAGAGCATTAGAAGCGAGCGAGATACAGAATTTCAGTGGAGAAAAATTGCAAAACTGCTGCTCTTAACAAGGATCTCTCTCTCTCTCTCTCTCTCTTTCTCTCTCTCGCTCGCACTTTCTTTCTATTTATTTTTTTTTCTCCGTTACTCTTATTCCACAGTAGTACCGCTAGCCCCCGTTCAAGCGAGAAAACTTGCGGAGAGAAATTCGTGGAAATTTCTAACTTTAATTGGAGGAAGAGGATCTAACTTGTTCTAGCGTGCACGAAATGTATTACGTGCTGTTAACTAGTGTTATAACTACTTAAACAAGCATTAACTATTCAACCGTTATAACATGCTTACTTTAGCTCGTCGCGACTTTTATCGATCGGATCTTGGCCGATACGTTTGGACATTAAGTTGCTCTGAAGATTCTTCTACTGAAAATCAATATATATATATATATATATATATATATATATATATATATATATGTATATACACGCACATATATACATATATATATATAGAGTGAATCAGTAATAATTGAATTTTTCCTGAA